TTAAAGTGGGGAAAGGGGTAGCATTGCCTATCAAAGATTTTTTCATACTCAAAACTCGAACTTCAGCTATCTGATTAAAGGAGAAACATTTTATCCACTACACCCCATCGATTGATGGTGAGTTTATCAATCCATCCTATAACAAAAGTAGGGTGTGTTTGGTATGCATAAGAATATGCTTTGATCGTAATTGAGAGAAATATTATAGTTTAGATCTAAAAGTAAAAAGGAAAATTAAGAGGATCTAAAAGTTTGAATTTTTCTTTCGACAAATGATTTAGATTTTTCAACACTTATGCTTAGTTTAATCGTATTTAATATTTGCAAAAAGAAAAGAATAATTTGAGAAAAAAAAATCATCATTACATTGTCATGAACCAACAAGATAAACCCATTAATAAATTAAAAAAATTATGAATTTTAATGGTGCTATAAAAATGTCCTTAAAGTATGCGCATGAAACTAAATATGTCATCCATAAAGGCAGGGGTAAGTCTAGATCTTCGGTGATAATTGACTAACTATTAGGTTAAGTGAGGGAACCATTTAAACTAAAGACATATTTAGGTTAAGTATTTAACAGTTAGGACATATATAAATGGTAGACAAATAAATCTGCTCAATTTCACTTATTATGAGGATATTTTTGAGATTTTTTCGTTTAAATTTTAGTAACGTCTTAAAAGGAAAAAATCTAACACGAGTCAAGATAACACATTAGAGAAATAAGATGTCATATTATTTACTCCGCAATTAAACGAACTACGCAATCAAGTTTCTTCAATAGTTTGAGATAATAGAAGATTAAAGAAATTCTAATTGAATTATAGGTATCAGATAATTTTGTTATTGAAATATAATTTTGTAAAATAATATTATGATAGTACATTTTAAAAAAACACGTAAGGTAAGAAAATTCAACATAACAATAGGAAACGGGATGTGAATAAAACAAGCAACATAGGCATGATGTAAACGTTATTCCTTTGTTTGTAAAATGCATTGGAAATGTAAATGAAATTAGAGTTTTTGTTTTGTTTTATTTTGAGTCAAGAGAAAATTATGCTTTTTTTAAAGAAATTTGATTCTTTCATAATTATTTAATATTATGGATTAATTTAATTTCTCTCAAAATAGAACAAAAATTTATTATACAATACTAGCAATAGAAATTACCGAACTTCAACAAATTCAACAAATAGAAAAAATTATACGGAACTTTTTACTTATAAAATACAATGTAAAAGAAGTAATTTGTATGTTTATTAGTGTCTGAAAATTTTTATAGTCAAGACACGAACATGTGCAATTAAGATTTTATTTTTCAATTCACACTACACTTTATTTTAAAACCCTTTTCATTTACTATTGAATTTAAGGATAATAATTTTATTATTGAAACTCTTTTTCTAATTCAAAGTTAACCAAAGAATGAAGAAGTCCTAACTGAATAACAATATCACATAATAATAACTTGCTCATTAAAATATAATTTTTTATATAATATATTATGATTTATATATTAAAAAAGAAGAAGGAAATAACATTAGAAAATGTAATATAACAAAGGAAGACTAAAACAAGAGAATTGAATTTTTTAGTTCACTTGCTATTTTTAAAACAGACAAAGACAAATTGGAGAAAATGTAAGAGAGAACACTCTAGATAAATAAAAAAATTACCCTTTCTATTTAAAGTAAAAAAGTAAAAAATAAAAAAAATAAGAAAACTCGTAAACGAAGGTTACAAATTTTAATGTGCTAAAAATGTCTTTAAAGTATGCGCGTGAGATTAAATATATCATCCATAAAGGTACAGGTAAATTCAAATCTCTTACGATTATGACACATGTTGAAATTCGGGGATAATTGACTAACTAATACACTAATTAGGTTAAGTGGGGAAACAATTTAAAATAAAGACACATTTAAATCAAATATTTGACAGTAAAGGCACATATAAATTAAGATATTAACGGAGGACGAATTTGTTCAATTTCACTTATTATGAGGATATTTTTGAGATTTTTTCATTTAAATTTTAGTAACATCTTAAAAGAAAAAAACTTAACACGAGTCAAGATAACATATTAGAGAAAAGAAATGTCATATTATTCATTCCGCAATTAAAAGATCTAAACAGTCAAGTTTCTTCAATAGTTTAAGTTAATAGAAGATTAATGAAATTCTAATTGAATTATAGGTATCAGATAACAATAATTTTGTCACCAAAATATAATTTTGTAAAAATTAATATTATGATAGTGCAATTTTTTTTAAAAAAACATGTAAGGTAAGAAAATCCAACATAACAATGAGGAACGAGATGAGAATAAAACAAGCAACATAGGCATGATGTAAACGTTACCTCGATCTTGATAAATGCATTGGAAACGTAAACAAAAATAGAAACTTTGTTTTGTTTTGAGCCAAATAGAAAATTGTATGTTTAAAAGATTTAATTCCTTCATTATTATTTAATATTATGTATTAATTTCTTTCAAAATAGAACGAAAATCTACTATACAATACTAGCAATAGAAATTACAGAACTTCAACAAATGAAAAAAAATTATACGACACTTTTTACTTACAAAATACGATGCAAAAATAAGTAATTTGTATGTTTATCAGTGTCTGAAAATTTTTATAGTCAAGACACGAACATGTACAATAATGATTTGACCAAATCCAATTAGAGGTGAGCGATGAAGACTCTCTTTCACTCTTTAAAATATAAAAAAAGTGCTTTTATATATAAATACGGGAAAATTGTATGTAATAACAAATTATTAATTCAAATTGAATGCTATAACTACAGTTTGATTTAATTGTAAACCGTAGCAAACTGTTGCAATTCGCCTCTCTCCCTGAAATTCTCGCTCGCCACTCTCCCTCTCTCGCTTGCCAGTCTCTCCCTCCCCTCACTTTATACATACACAAATGTATAAATTGTGTTTATGTTTGTATAAAGCAAGAGAAAATTGTATACACATGCAAATACATATATATTCGTCATATACACTTATAATTATACAATACAAATCTTCCCCTACCCAATTCTCTTTTGCCTTTCTCTCTTTCTCGCTTTATACAAACACAATTTATACATATAATTATTGTTTGTATAAAGCGAGAGAGAGAGAGATTTGATATACAAACGTTTTATTTCGATTCAATTGTATACAAATTCAAATTTTATGCAGATATACAAACACATAAAATTGAATTGAGAGGCTGCCAACGATTTATACAAACAAGAGGCTGCCAACGATTTATACAAATGAGAGACTGCCAACGATTTTATACAAATCTGATGCACCCAACGATTTATACAATCTGATGCTCCATAACAAACATAAAAATTTACTGTGAATCGCAATTATGCAAACTAAAACTATAGCATATAAATATGATTTTTTATGTTTGCTAAATGTGAAAGTTACTAGTATTCCTCTTTCTAATAAACTTGATTTAAAATTTATTTCCTCTGACTACACATTATTTTAAAACCCTTTCATTTACTATTGAATTTAAGGATAATAACATCTTTATTGAAACTCTTTTTCTAATTCAAGTTAATCAAAGAATGAAGAAGTCCTAACTAAATAATAATATCACATAACAATAACTTGCTCATTAAAATATAAAGAGAAATATAAATTTATATATAACATATTATGATTTATAAATTTAAAAAAGAAGAAGGAAAAAACATGAAAAAATCTAATATAACAAAGGGTGGTATAAGACTAAAACAGGAGAATTGATTTTTTAGTCCACTTGCTATTTTTAAAACAGGCAAAGATAAATTGGAGAAAATTTACCTTTTCTATTTAAAGTAATAAAAAATAAAAAAAATAAAGAAAGTTCCAAATGAATAATAGTATCATATAACAATAGTTTCGTCATTGAAATACGAATTTAATATAATATTATGATTATTTTATTTTTTTTGAAAAAACGGATGTATTATTGTAAGAAAATTTAATGTAAATATGACAATATATACGAATCTAATGTGACAAGACTTTTTCTTAAAGACTAAAACAAACAATGTAAATATGTATTTGTCCGTATTAATTTAAGTGTCCTATTATTTTAACACATTATATTTCTTTTTATATGTAATTTTTTTTAGTTTCAATAGTGACAAATTTAAGACTGTAGAATTTAAATAAATATACTCATCTTTAATATTATGATTACAAAAGTCAAAAATAAATTTTTATTTTTTCTAATTTTACCCTCAATATCAATTACTTATTCCTTAATTCATTTATCGGTATCCAAAACTATACTTCAATTAATATATTCATAATATGAAAAATGTAAAATATAAAATGAACAAATAAAAATAAATGAAGAAAGTATATTATTTTGTAATTCCATTCTCTTCAACTACTCTCCAAAACCACCCCTAACCCCCCCAAATAATAAAAAAAGGAAAACTACTTCAAAGCAAAGAGAGAAATCACTTCCTTGACTTGAAAAAATATCATTTCCTTGAGTTTTTTCTTTTATTATTTTTCTATATATGTCACTATATTTATTTTATATGTTATTATATTTTTCTTACCATCCTTCTTTGAAAATATTCTCTTGAACTGAACACAGTTGGAAATAGTCTCTCTATCTTAAAAAGGTAAGAACAAAATTTGTATACATATTATTCTTAAATTTTATTTACGAAATTATATCAGATATGTTATCGTTATCGTTGTCATCTTCAAAGTTATCCTTACAAATTTTATCCATGGAAGATTTTTTAAAATCTACTTTTCATTCGATATACATATCAACATTCGATTAGTTTGAATTTCACGCGTTATCAGACTTAGAATATATGTTTTGTATACAGAGCTCGAATCCAATGTCTCTAATTAAAAATGGAGGAATCAGAACCATCTCACCACGATCCGTGCTAATTATAGAAGAAAATTGATCCTTTATCACCTACCCCACCCCCTCCCCCCCTCCCCCAACAAAGAGAAAACAATATTTTTTCTTCCTCTCTCTCAAGTCTCTTTGAACCAGCACCTTGTATTGCATTTTTTCAAGAGAAAGAGAGAGAGAGAGAAATATAATTAAAATAATCAAAGAGAAATAAAAGATAGCTATAGAGAGAGAATATCTTCCATACTTTTTTAACATATATTCTTTTTCTCTGGAAAAATTTCTTTCAATCGGAATAATTTTCTCTAGATTTCTCTTCTTATATCTCACCAAAATCTTCATCGGATTTTTTTTTAATTTTTTTTTTATCATTTTGGGTTTATAGAGTTAATTTTCCTTAAAAAACATAAAAATCTGTATCCGATTGCATTTTGCAGAACTGAATCTCCGGTGATACTGATTATTCAGTTTCCGATCATCGGAAAAAGTGCCTAATCGGAAACCAGAGGATTTTATTGCTAAAAACCTTGTTTCCGATTAGAATTTGTATGAACAATCGATTTTTTTTTTTTGTGGGTATAATTAAAATCGGGTAAAGATTGAATTTGGTTATCTGGGTATTGATAAATAATTGATTTTACGATCTGGGTTGATTTTTTTTTGCTCTGAATCATCAGTTATGGCGAAGAGTAGTGGGACTTTGGATAAATGGAGGGACTATTTTCGTACTGCAAATTCGGATATATTCGATATAATTGAGTATGCAGTTATGGTTGCTGCTGTTGATTGTCCAAAGGAGTTTAAACTGAGAAGGGATAGAATTGCTGAAATGCTGTTTACATGTAAAGTTACTATGTGTTTTGGTTGTGAGAAAGTTGATTTAGCTGTACCAATTGCTAGTAATGATGATGAAGGAAAAATTAAGAGTAAGGATGAGTTTGGTGTTAGTAAAGAGAGCAAAGCTAACAGTAGGATAGATCATCATGATGTTGAGATGAATGTGAATCAAGTTAGCAATTATAGTTATGGAGAAGCTGAGGCATTAACTGAGGAGATGGAGGAAGAGACACAGATATTTGGGGAGGTGATGAGGATCAAAGATGTCATTGATAACAACCAAGCTGAGGTTTATTTCATCTCTATTGAAATTTGATTATACTGTTGATTTGAAGTATTTTGCTGTGTTTGGATTTGTTTGGACAAGAATTGGTGAACTCTGTGAATGTGAATTTGAAGTTTGTGTTCTTTTGGGGTTGATCAGGAAGAAGAATCTTGATAATTGAGCTTAAATGGTGTTAGATTTTTGGAGTTTCTGATGTTGTATGACATATTACAATGGTTACTTTTATGGTTGAATTTGATGAATTTGAAATTTCTGTTCTTGTGGGGTTGATCAGGAAGAAGATTCTTGATAATTGAGCTTAAATGTTGTTAGGTTTTTGGAGTTTCTGATGTTGTCTGACATATAACAATGGTTACTTTTATTGTTGAATTTGATGAATTTGAAATTTCTGTTCTGGTGGGGTTGATCAGGGAGAAGAATCTTGATAATTGAGCTAATGTTGTTAGATTTTTAGAGCTTTTGTGGTTGAATTTGATGGTGATTCTATTTTCTGTACTAGTGTCAATAACTGGAAAATCTGATATGAGGTTGTTTCCATGTCACAGTTAGGAAACCTTTATGCTTTTCATTTCCTTTTTTCCCCCTTTTTGTTCCTTTGATCTAGTTCTACAAGGCTGTTGCTTTCTTTAGCTTTAAAACAATGTATAAAGCTACTTTTAAACTCTTTATCTCTTTTGCAATTTCACTTGCTTGGTAGTTTTGAGCTTTTCTCTAGTAATCTGGTTTTGAGTTATTGTTCTTTTTGACAGTCTGCAGAGTTGTTTGAGTGCTTAAGAAGGCTTCAACTAATGGCTTTGTCTGTGGAGACTTTAAAGGTTTGATCTTTTGCCTCTTCCAAAATTTCATCTTCCATTTGTCTTGGTTGCAGTTTTTTAAGTTTATTTTGGATGGGCATAATTGATTGCTTCTATATCAGGCCACAGAGATTGGAAAGTCGGTTAATTCTCTCAGAAAGCACAACTCAAAGGATGTTCGACATCTAGCCCGGACATTGATTGAGTAAGTAACTCTTGCTTTATTGCTGAAATAACTGTAAGATTATCGTCAAAATATTAATCCACAACACGGTTCTAGTAGTCTGATCCGCGGTATCTTTAATGTGGCTAAATTTGTTTTTATCGCAAAGGTTTGAACTTTTGTCTTCGAGTTGAACTAACATGTCGTATTGGTGGCTCTGGCAGTTTGTTTTGTCGGTTGTAGTTTTGAGCTATTATTACTTTTTAATGCTTGCCACTGTTTGTCGCTTACCGGTTTTCTTTAATTGATGGTATCTTTACCGTAAAATGAAGATTAAATCATAACTCAATCATCAATGCATACTAATTTTGTCGAGTGCTTTGCAAAATTTTATCGAGTGCTTTGCAAAATTTTGTGACTCACTTTGGTAGTCCCTTTTTATTTATCAGAAGTATATGACTGACCTTGCTCCTTACCCCTGTAATTCGAGCTCTAGTTTTGCTGTTTTGTATACCTTCTTGTTGATCTATGCAACTTTCTGATCTACTGGTTGGGTACATCGTCTATTTCTATAGAGTTGCTTTAAGTTAGAATTGTTTGTAGCTTATTGCTGATCACATTTTAATGGATCACAGGGATTGGAAGGTCTTGGTAGAGGAATGGGTGAATGCTACTGCAGCCTTTGCAGGTTAATTGTTTAAGAGTTTCTTTTGCTTCCGTTTCAATTTTCAGTAAAAATGAATTATTCTCGTATGTTTTCATTTGCAATTCTGAGCTTAATTTTGAACTGATTTATTATTTCTTGCTTAAAGGTAACGAAAGCACTCCAGAGTCTATGAAAGCATCTGTAGTTGATCAAGACGAGGAAGGACTTCCTTCCCCACCTTTAGATGACTTAGCTTTCTTTTCTGCTCAGACCACTTCAATTGAGTTGTCACAAGTATGATCAGCTTCCCCTCTTCTAAAAAATTGGTTGTTTTGTTTTCGTCGGCTGTCACTGACTTATTTTCTCTTTATTGTTTGTGAACAATGAAGTTCTTTGATGGCATGGATGATGATGGAAGTGAGTAGAATTTGTGTCCATATTCTTTCAATATCCCTTCGCTATTCGGCTCTTTGTTTGGATTCCCCTCTAATAAAGGTATATTGTTCCGATTGGGGATTTTATTTCAGATCCTCGAAACAGTGGGGGATTCAATGCGAATCGTGGAAATGGCCGAAAGCCATCACTAGGTAACCAGAACATTCCTTTCCAGAAGAAGCAGTCTGCTGATTGCTTCAATGCTTCTCCCAAAGAGAATAAGGGTGAACAACAAAAGAAACAGGAAGCTGTAATCAAGAAACAAACAACAGTCGTGAAACCAACTAAGCCATCTGGAGGTGAATCTGGGCCTGGAAGACCGATAAAACCAGCCTTGGAGCAGAAGCTCAAGGTTAACGAGATGAACTTCCAGCAGAAATCTGATAAAGGCACAATTCAAAAGAGGCCTGTGGCGCCTCAACAGAATGTGAGTATCTGAAAGAAAGATATCTTGTGATTCATGTAAAGCTTGATCCCTATCTAATGCATAATTTCATCCTATAGAAACTTAGACATTCAGATGAGGATGCTGTTCAAGTCAAACTCGAGGCTACAAAAAGAAAGCTCCAGGAACGGTACCAAGAAGTTGAAAACGGTTGGTCCTCACTCCTCTTTAAACTTTTTGGATACTTTACTGGATATATACAATTCGTGTTCAGTTTCCTTATGAAAACATTGAAATGAATTGATTCACGACTGTAAGGTCCGATAATGATCTGAATGCATTTTTATAATTGTCCTTCAGCCAAGAGGCAGCGAACCATACAGGTTATGGAGTTGCATGATATCCCAAAGAAGGGCCCAAACCAAGGTGTTGGCCTTAAGAATGCTCATATGAGACCTGGCAACAATAATAGGCATTGGGCAAATGGACGTCGTTGAATTGATTTCAACAGACTGTCTCAATAAGTTCTCTAGTTTCATCCACCTCTGCAATTCATTCTCTTAGAACAACACCGATGACTCCTCAGCTGAGTAAATTCTCAACTTGCTGTGTAAACAAAGGATCTCGTCTAATTGACCTCAACAGAGAGAGGCCACTCTCAAATCGGGAGGGGCATGTTAATGTTATCGGAGTTACATTATGATGCTTAGATAAACATTTTGTTAGACCTCACAGTACAGGGGCTTGCGGATTTCGGTTTAATTTTCTTTTTGATCTTTAGGAAGGACATAATATCGTCCATTTCGGATGAACCATCTTTTGAGCATTAACCATATGCTTTCATAGAAATACCCTGACTGTAAAAATTTGCACAGAATAAGTGCATTGAAATATATGAATTAGAATATAAAGTGATGGTTACATTTTGGCCGTTTTTAGACAATTAGATAGAGCTATTTGAGATGATTTTGTTCTATGTAGCAATAAGTATACTTCTTGATGGGGTTTTGCTCCACCCTTAACCAGATGTCTCATGTTCCAGCCTCGGGGATGGAGAAAATCCTATTGGGTGCGACTTATGCCATACTTGTTTGTTGACTTTGTTGGTTTTGGATAAGGATTTGTGTAAAGGTATTCCTCCCCCCTACCCCCTACCCCCCA